TGATTGGCTCGACAAGGAGATGGCATGCTACTCCCAAAAGCGCCGTGACGCAGCAAACGATCTCATGGAGGAAAGGGTCAATACCCATTTCTCCGCTTTGAACGACCTCGTGAAGCTGACGACACGTGCCGACGTTGGGAACATCGTCCTTATCATGCCATGGTACGGCAGGGGGTATGGGTTGCACCCCGACTATGACCGTCAAATGATTCGCGAAGCTGAGGCTTTGAGGAAGCGCGGACTCTGCGTCCTCGATGCCACGTCGCTTATCAAGTGTACTACACGATACGACGGCCAGCACATGGAGAATTCGGAGCACAATCGTCTCCAGTGCATTCGCTTCTATTCCGAAGCAGGCGCTCTTGGTTATCATCTTTTTCGGCTTCGGTCGTGCAAGCCATTGATTGAAATGGCTGAGATGAAGAAGCGCCGCGAGGAATCGCTGGCCAACCCTCAACCTGAAAACAACCCTGAATGGGAAGAGATGGAAGAGGTGTTGGTTTCCATGGACGTGGACGGTTGGGAAATCTATGTGAAGGAGACCCGACCCAAAGGGCAACGGCTTCCCAATGAAGTTGACCCCGCACGTGCACAAGTCGCGCAGGCTCCTACGGTGCAGGATGATGCCACTGTGGCCTCATCGAACTGGCAGCTTTTGGAGTCCGTGGACGCTGCACTGCCGGGGGAACCCGAGCACTTTGAACCGCATGAGATCAAAGAGCCGGAGATGGATGGTGAGCTCATCGACGCCATCCTCAAGCCCTTTTTGGATCGGTTGCCTGGTGTTTCCGACGAGCGTGACATTGACGAGCCGGACGCTGACGAGGAGATTGTCTTCAGAGAACCCATTGTCGGCGGCTCGGCATCAATGTTTAGCCAGCGGAAGCTGCGCTCCCATCTGATGAACAAGATCCATGCTGTGGACTTCAAGTTGGATGGCTCTGGCGTAGTGAACATCTTGGACACCGACGTCACACGTGATCCTGCCAAGCTCGAACTTCGGCAGGAATCCATGCAGCAGACTGAGAGTGGTGCAGTCATCATTCGTCGCTTTGACTTGACGGATGAGGAGAAGCATCGTCAGATGGAACGTGAGATCTTTGAGGAGCCCAAGACCGCCGAGGAGAAACTTCGAGCGGGTGACCCTGCTGCCTCTGTCCAGATAATGTCGAAGGCCAAGTCGAAGGCGGCTTCCTCATCCGAAGCGGCATCATCTTCGAGCGGCATCGCACAGGTGATCGGGGACACTGTCAGCCAATTCATCAAACCCAAGATGAGGGATCAGGCTACCATGATTCAGCCCAAGCCTGCTCCGCGGCTCCCAAAGGTTTCAACGGCGACGGGAACGTCTCCCATGGCGTCCCCAAAGCCAAGTCCGCCACCGACTCCGAAGAGTGCAACTGGATCCCCCAAGCCGGAGCCACCTGCACTCCCAGCGGAAGCTGCGGACCATCCTATGCCCAAAGCTTTGCCTTTCAAGGCACCGCCTGCAACGTTGACAACAACCTCACCGAGGGCACCTCCGCAGAAGTCATCGGCGCCTGCAGCTACGTCTTCGTCGGAGCCTGCCCCGAAGATGGCCAAGAAGGAGCCGCCTATGGCAAGTGCTCCTCCCCCGGGAACGGGTGGACCTCAGCCTCCAGCTGAACCGCCCTTGCGACCACATGGGTATCCCAAGTGGTACTTTTTCTCCCCGGGAACGGGCGAGCGCAGGGAATTCACCATCCGGTGTACTGACCTGCCAGGCCTGAGGGACCTTGGAAGACTCGGTCACGATGATTTCAAATTTTCCAAGCGGGTGACCGGGCTGCTGCGTGGCTATGACCACAAGTTCCTCGAGGCGCACCATCGCCATATTCCTCCTGAATTTGATGAGGAGCTGTACTTGAACTTTGAGTCCATGTACACGTACCTCCGAAAGCGGCATCGCGCTCAGCTTTCGCGACAGGACCTGTACCTGATCCTTCGAACTCAGGACAGGTTCATGTGCCGCATTCAGGCTGGAATTGTCGGGGAACTGACAACCATGGACATGCCGTATCGCATCACGCATGTGAAGGCCTGCCAAGGTCATGACCAGTCCCTCATCGACAAGGTGGGAACGGCTCCATTGGTCAAGCAAATCATCTCGCTTGACTACCAGTTCACGGTCGAGGACTTGAAGAAGGGATTCTACCCAAGGGTCCCCATTTATCCTCACCTGGCGGAAGCCGAGGTCTCAGAAGAGTTCAAGGTTATTTACCATTACACTTCATGGGACTCCCTCCAGCAGATCATTTGCACGGGGATTTTTCCGGGGGCCACTTCATGCAAGGGTCATGTATATATGACCCGCCATGCGCCTTGGGAAATCGAAGGCAAGGATCCTGGTGTCAGGACGAACCGACCGCTGTGCATCGCGATCGGCACCGATTGTGCTTTGCACTATGGTCTTCGCCTGGTGGAAACCTTGGCCGGTGCACTCATCACTGAGGACTGGGTGCCCAATCATTGCCTCATCTACGCATTCGATTGCGAGAAGTCGCAATACCTTTGGGCGAACCATGGCTACAACGGGGTGAAGAAGTACCTTCGGCAGAAGGCCTCCGAGAACGCTCTCACTTGGCAAGAGAACGAGGCTCGGAAGGGCACTCCCAACTATGACGAACTTGAGAGGTACGAGATTTCGGACCTGGAGGTGTTGAAGAACATGTTCGTGAATGAGTACGATCAGTGGAAGGATGTCATCACTCTGCGACGTCCGCTCATTTACAAGGAAGTTCCGACACCATATCCTGTCGTCGATGAGTTGCTGCCCAAGATCAAGCAAAGGCCGCTCAACTTCACCAATCTCCTCTGTGTGGCACGCAAGCCAACGGCAACGGCAGCTGGCTTCGACATCGCCCCTGACAACGCGCGGGAACGCCGTTCTGATCGCTTCGATCAGGAGGCATTTGACCCATCCGCGGAGGGGAACCTCACGCGCTGGCGGTATGTTTCAATGCTGGCAATGCCGGAATTGACATGCCCCCGGTGCAGGAAGATCTTTCCTGAGGGGATGTTGGTGTGCCTTGCATGCGGCTTGTCGCTGGCGACAATGTCCGACATGCGTCGTGCGTGTCAGGTGTTCCGCCTGGAAGAGTTGGCCGAGAAGCTGGGCTTCGAGCTGACGTTGGATCTTCTGGGCGACGACGATGTAGCAGGCACCACTCAAGGTGCCAAGCAGATCAGATCTGCTGCTGCAGTCCTCAAAAATCACGCCCGCTCATACATGAAGCAGGCGAGAAAAGCAGGGCTGACTTTGCTACAGCGTCTGGGAACGGACGCCCACTACGCCTTCAATTGTGCAGTCCAAGACCTTACACCTCGGTGTATGCATTGGATTACCGTTTTGGGCAACGTGGTGCTTCCATCCATCAAACGCACCCGCGAGGAGATCCGAACTGGAAAGATTCGGCAGTACAAAGCGCGTATGTGCATGGTCGCATACGAAGAGGAGCAGATGAAGACGATCATCGTGGATGATCATGTACTCATCTGGTACAAGAACCGCTTTTACAGAGCCAACCAGTTCGCGGCCGCCTATGCTTTGATCCCTGTGGCCGATCGTTTTGAGGTCTTGAGCGTCGCCAACACGACGTTCCAATCCCTTGCGTTGTCCAAGCAGGATGTGTATGCCGACATTCTCAGCTATGTCGACGACATCTTGCGCCCCCTCACGGAGGCAAAGGACACGGAAGGCGGAAGCCGACCCCTACCTGCAACGAGGCAGCAGAACCCAGATGTCACCAGGTCCTCGCGTCCTGGATATGGTTCTCACCAGGGGCCCACTCATGGCTACAGTCAGCAGGAATGGAACGACTACTACAATCAGTGGACTGACCAGGAGTGGGAAGATTGGCGCCGTCGAAATCAAGGCCACCAATACAGGGATCGACGTTGGTCGGGCTATCGATGAGGCACCGCGGAGGGGAACCTCTCGCCTGGTGGATTTATCTTCATCTGAGGCGGGGTAGTTTCCTTTCAATGAGAGGTGTCGCACAGCGGAAGCTGTTGCCTTTTCGGATTTAATTCGGTTAGGCGACTAGCTTCATTTTGCACAGGTGGGTGAGCGATTCCACCATCATTTCCAACACAAGTGTGCTAAGTCGGAATTTTTGCCAACTCATTCAAATTCACAAAAGTTTCATTAACGCTTTGAATGCATATAATTTGAAGCAGGCATTTGGCACTCATCTTATTCTTGCCATGATTCCTTCTTGCATAGCACACGGCTGGTAGTTGCATGTACCGCAGAGCGGAAGCTCTTGCCTTGCGAAGTTAAGGCAGCTTTGAAGCATTTCTGAAAGCTTCCCTGCGGGTTCACATCAAAACCGAATTCAGCATTTTGCTTTAATTCATATTGTTTGCTTCGGCATGCTCCCGGGCGTCCACAAGAACTTTTGATGCCGCGTGGAAACGCTGGCCTTTGTAATGGGCCACACTTCAACACGTTTGCATGTTCGACCACAAGCCTGGTAGATCCAAAATTAAAGCTGAATGCATTCGGCCGAATCGACATTCGCAGCAGCCGTTGATCGTTGTACTTGGTGTCAGATTGAACGGTTTGCCTTGTCATGCTTTTGCACTTGTTCGTCATTTACGCCACACTGAGGTGAAAGCTTGAAAGACTTTGGAAGGTTAGGCGACGGTCGGGTTTGGGTTTGTTGTTGTGTTTTCTGTTCATGTTAACTCAATGGCATCCCTAACTAGACTGTACATAGCTTAATTTGCAGCTTCACTACCCGGGCGGTAACTACACTGCACGGGGGGTGTTGTTGCACAGTCTTATTGTACACTTTAGCTTTTTACCTTCATATACCTTGTGGCTATGGCTCAAGAAATAAGCAGTGCGTATTCGTGGTTTGTAGTGGCTGTTACCGTGTTTCTACATTAATCAAACAAGAAAATCTACACATAATCTATGTCAGTCCTGGTAAATTCTTTGGCGAAAGATCTACAGCCCAAACCACAATTCAGAGGAAATCCTTTGGGCACAAGATCCTGGTCAAGTGTGGAGCTGGAAGGAGCTCCGGGTCCGTGACTTACAAATATAACACTTAGAGGAATTGTAAGAGGCTTGCTTTGCAAAGTGTCACGCAGCAACACGGAAAACACGGGGACAAGACATGGCAAGACATTGCAAGACCTGGAATATTAAGAAGCTGAAGCAGTGCTTCTCGACGTGCCAAGGCCAAGATGATGGATTACTACAAAGCCCATTTGGCGGCCTTCTCTGAGACAGACGATCGCCCGAACAAGCAGATCTTCAAAGAAATGCGCCACTTCTCTCAATCAAACGGCGTTCAACGCACTTGGAATCTCATGCAATCATTGGAATCGTTCCCAGCCGTCCTAGCCAACTTTGGTCACGATTTGGGCGATTTGAAACATCACAACTGAGCTCTGGCGCTCAGGAGAGTCGCTTCCAAGAGAATGGTTCGAGGATTCTGAAAACTTGCAGGCCGCTGCTATTCCTAGGCGCTGTGAGTTGTGAAGTCTATTGCGGTCTTCTCGGTTGACATGGTCATTAAAAGCTTTGCTTCTCTCAGGTGCGCTTGTCACCTGCTGAACATCAGCAGGCGGCTAGACAAGTTTGGAAAGCAAATCGTGAAGATGGAATTCGCTGCTCGGCTTTTGTCTCTGGCACTGGGCAAATCGATACAAGGACCAAGCAATGGGAAGAGACGATGAATCTTACTAAACACCACAATTACAGAAGCTAGCAGCAGCTCGCTGGAGTTGGTTGTTTCCCCTGCAAATCAATTGGGAAAACGCATCTTTTCTTTTTCACGAACCCCACTTCCCTGACCCGGGTCCCCTCTCGCTCACGATCATTTGAACACAGCGTGTCCATTTCCTTCATTTGTTCCCGGTCCATGCCCTGCAAATAAACAGAACTTCGCGCTGTGCAAATGATTCCCCCACATCATCCCACATCACTTTCAACCTCTTTCAATCATTTTTGCCCTTGCTTCACTCTTCCATTTGCTGGTCTTTCCTTCACTAAGACTTGAGACTCAAGTCTTGAAGCTGTGTTCCCAAATGAATTGAGGTAAATTTCAACGCCGCGTTGTGCCCTGGGCAGAGCCAGCCAAAACCGATACACAAGAAGATAAAGTGGAGCTTGGAAACCAGCTCTGCTCTTAGCCTGTTCTTGCTGCAGATTGAGTGGCTTGGCTGTCCTACAAGTCAACAATTGGAGGATAAGCAACAGTGACGGCAAAGCCATGCCAAAGCTCAAGACGCGCAAGAGGAGGGGTCAAGAGTGGCTTGCTTGCCTTCCTTACTGAGTACTTGATAGTACTTGCTTAATGCGGGAGCACCACTATGGTGAGAAGGTGGGGGTGAGACTCTACTACCGGCCAGTATTTGAAAGATTTGCAAGTATGAAGACTAGTTGCTTGAGGTGGTTCCTGGATAGTGGTTGTATGAGTCATTTGCTTCAGACAGTTTTGCAAGTGGACTTCTGTATTCTTTCTTTTTCTTGATCCCCAGGACAAGAAGTGCCAAAAAAGCAGATGGAGGAGGCGGAAGAAACATGAAGAAGAAATAAGAAACATGACATGTGCATTCCTCTGCCATAGGACAAAGCAAGAACATGATGGAGTGACCCGGGTGTCGTTTGTGGCCTCCTTCTTCCTGCCAGGAGCCGCAGCTGCAAAGTCTGCTGCATCATGTGCAAATGCCTCAGAATGTTCCGCCTATTCCCAAAGCTGTCCAGTCTGAAGTTTCTATATGACCCGCGATTTGCGTGAGAGGCAGGGTACTTGCCGTATGTAGCAAAATGAGCCAAGTTTTCTTCCTATGTGCTCAGGAGTCACCAAAGCGAAAGGCGGCAAAAAAAGGAAAATTTCGCTGGGCATGCCACAGATGTTAGTCAAAGAAATTTAAGCAGCAACACAAAGGATACAAATGTCACATTGACACACCCTCATGGTGTGCCATGATATACAGTAAGCTTCAGGTGGCTCTTACTAGTGGTGATTCCTGGTGTTTTGCTTGGCACAGCCATTATTAATTCCGATATTTTGAAGTGAAAGGTACATGTATGTTGCAGGTGAATTTGGGCTGGTTGAGGTCCAGGATTGTTCCTGCTGTCTGAAGTAACCTGCACGCAGTTCAGCATGCTCAAGATAGTGGGTTTGATGTTTCAGCAACCAAACGCAATGATCCTGAAAAGCGATTTGTTTTCTTTGACTACGACGGTATGATTCTTGGAGGGCTTTGTAGCAAAAGATTGTACATGTGTGTTGCGATTTGCAGTCCAAATGTGCAATCGACCAAAGCAACCTTTTCGTTTGGCATGGGTGGACGCATGCCAAAGTGCCATGGATGATTCAGGCAGGGGCTTGGTGTTACTTCGAGATGTAGACTTTTCTGTTTGCACAGGATTTAATTGGTGTTGGTATTCCTGAGGTGTTGTGACTTCTCAAAGCGGAAATGTTGTGTCGCATCCTCATGCTATCCTCCTGAATTTAGAGATGAGACTTGCCAGACTTGAGCTGACGAGAATCCGAAGTCTCGCGAAGCAGAGTTTGTCCTGAGATTCCTGAGGCTGAAGTCTCGATCTGGTGAGGCTCGACCCTCCCTGTTGGACGTTTCTACAGGCAGAGGCATCACGCTTTTCCGCACTTTGCTGCCCCTCATCAGGCCCCCCAGCTTGAGAACTTTGTTCTGCGGGCAGCCAGCAGAAATGGCAATCGACGGCAATCAAGGCCACAGCGCAGCAGTCTCAAATCCATCCTAGCAATCCATAGCTGCCATAGCTATTCATACCTACTCAGACCTGTTCATAGGCATTCAAAGCTGTGAGTTTTGCTGTCCGCTTTGGCTTTGACCAAAAGTCATATGGCGGCATGCTGGTGTCTAAGTGAGACAAGAGTCAAGTCACTCTGTTGCACAATAATGGCAATCCGCTGGCGTCTCTAACTCTTGCCAGACGGTCGCCTTCGCTTGCTGAGTCGCTTGCTGAGTCCTGCTGAATGAGCAGAAACACAGATGTGTGACTTGAGAAGGAGCATCATTCTTGTGCTTAAACCATATTATACTACATAGGTTGAGCTGCTGATGCAGTGATCAAAAGGCTGCTGTTCGTGCTGTTTTTTCTCGAACCTCAAGTCTGTAGCCGTCATGGCTCGTAGCTTAGAGTTCTGATAGTGAACGTCCTTTTGGACTCCAGGCTGGAGAACGACGTGCTGTGTAGTTGTGCCTTATGATGACTTTATAGGAACACTCTTGTGCACGTGGGTGCACCTGCCGATATCACCTGAGCCCCTCTTCAGGTGCATATCTTATATATACTGTACTGCAGAATGTGGAGAGCAGCACAGGCTGGCAGAGCAAACAATGTGCAAAACATGTGCAAACGGTGGTTTACAAGTTGAGTCTCTATGAAAATCTATTTGAATTCCGCTCGTTCACTTCAACCATTTTGAACCTTGGTCAGGTGGAGCGAAGTCTCCTGCTCCAAGCTGTGCTTGCTTGGGTTGTTAGAGGTCCGGTATCATATATTGGGCTTTTGGTGAAGTTTTGGACGTTTCTGGAAGTTTCTACAAGATCTCGAAGTTTCTACAAGATCTCGAAGTTTTTTGTTTTGCTTGTTGCTCAAGGTTCCAAAGATGTTGGCTGTGACCACATCATGGGCACCAGCGGGCAGTCGTACAGGCAGGAGCGTAGGGCGCTTTCGCAACACTGGTATTGAGATTGAGTGCTATGAATTGCCATGAAGGTGGGCTTTACAGAATCCTCAGCTTGTTGCCCCTGTACTCTTGGACTACGATGTCTTGGAGAATCCTTGCTGCATTAGGAAGTAGCCTCATCCTCAAGCAAACCGATTTGGAATCTATGATTGAAGTGCTAAGGTATAAGAGTCCGCTGATGGCAAGTTTGACAGACACTGCGCTGATAGTCTCAGCTGCTGCAGACATGACAGTGCCTCACTGAATTTGTGTTTTCGCCAGCGCAGCAATTTTCAGACTTTGCTTTTCCTTAAGCTGACTAGTTTGGAAAAAGTTTGGTTGCTTGGAGCGTTTTGACTGTAACAGAGGCAAACTTCAATTTGACCTCTTCGTCTTCAGCTGGGTCAGCTTCGTCTGCCCCGCAGAAATACATATTGCAGTTTCGTGCCTGCAATTTTCAACGTGTGCTGGCCAGGTTCTGATTTGGATCAATTGCCTTGTGTTTTTTCAGGGAGGTGAATTACTCTTGAATTCTGAATTTCATTCCTGCCCAGGACAATCCAATTCCGAAAGCCTCCCTTGGTTGCTGAAGGGACCAAACAAGAGTTGAGCCATGAGCTGGAGGCAGTGCTCGTGCATCGAGAGGTGGGGAGCTAAGATAGGAAGCGAATGGAAGGGTACATGATGTAGCAATGTAGCATGGCATGATTGAGTCTGAGTCAGAATGATTAAATATGATTACCCTCTGGTAAATTAACATAGACCCTGAAAATCACCAATTGTTAATGGAAACTAATAACTAATCTTCCAATTCCTATCTGGCAGGGTCTATGTTTATTTACTGGAGGGTAAGATACCAAGAATTGTTGGGAGGTCTGCAGGTCAGTTATTGTGGTACTTACCGTTAATCCGCTTCCGACAGACATTGTTTGCAGCAGCCTTGGGCAGCGAAGCTTCCCCTTTGAGGTGACCGGTTCCGGCTACTTTGCAAACATCATTGTGCCGATTGAGGTTAGCGTCATCCTCAGACAATGAGTGACACTCCAAACTCTGGACGAACTAAAGTTACTGAAGAGTTCGCAGAACCTCATTCTTGTACCCTGTCATTTTTTGGAACCCAGGTGCTGAGCCATCCCTTGACCTTTTGGCGCCTTTGCTAGATTCAGCTGAGCTCCCGCAACAGGCTGGAATGGAGTGGAAGAATGGAAGTAATTCCAAGGTGTGAAGTGAAGCTCGAGCCTGGGGCACAGTCCATTCCTAGCCCTTGACTTGACTGGCAGGTTGGCGAAGTCTCACCTGTGTTGGTGAGCTCCCTTCCTGTGAAGTTGGCGCACATTTTTGCCAACGTAGGGTGCTCGGATGTGAACATCAATACAGCGGACTGGACCTAAGACCCAAGCATGATGCTTTTGACCATAGGCATGTGAACTTTGCACAGTTCACCGACATTAAATTTGTAGAGGTGAAGGGAGGATATGGAGGGAAGTAGGCTGAAGGATTGGAAGGTAAGACATAGTAGGACTATGCGCGCGAGGAGAACTTGACCGGCAACATTTTCTAAGAAGACCGTAAACATACCGGAAGACGCATTTGTTTGTTTGTTTTCACTCTTGCATGTTTATCAGCAAACTCCGCAGAACTGTTTTTCTGGCAAAAACTTGCAAAACTTACGCTGTTTGTGGACAGGGGAATTCTGCACAAAAGCGTGGCCACTGAACAGGCGCCGAAGAAGTGGATGGCTTTGGTTCGATCTGTGCAAAAAAGAGGTATCCTTGACGCCGCTCACCAATATTTTTGAAGACCATTGCGGAGACAAATGCCATGCACTGCCATTCTGGCACCAACAAGTTATCATCTCATCAATGTTGATGTGAATTTAGTTTCACACAGTATCTATAATTGCAGTATCCGGTCATATTTGCTGTACTACATTTTTGCAAGTACCGTCTTTCACGAGAGTGGTTGTGTTATGTTGTATTCATAGTCGAAAGAAAGAAGGGAAAAAAGGAAAGAAACACATAAATAAAGAAGGAAAGAAAGAAAAAAGGACAGAAAAGAAAGAAAAGAAAAGAACAAATAAACGAAACAAAAAGATACAAAAAGAAAGAAAGTACAATAAATGATGAAAGCAAACAAAACAAAAAAGAAAGAAACATCAAGAAAAGAAAGACAAATCAAGAAAGAAAATCAAGAGAGAAAGAAAGATACAGCAAGAAAGAGAAGAAAGAGAACGAAAGAGAAAGAAGAAAGAAAGGACTAGGCAGCACGTCGAGGAGGGGAGGAGCAGCACGAGGCTCCGAGGAAGAACTTAGAAGTCAGAAGTACCCGTGGCGCTAGTTGCAGCCGCGGTCGTGGATTTTGTCAATGCGCTTGCGGCATGTGGCATCTAGTAGCCTAAGACTGGAGACCCACTGTTCAGCTTTCGTGTTTTTTTTGCAGTGCTTGCCTTTGTAATTATAGTAGTTGCCGTTAGTTGCCGTTGTGATTTGCATTCTTTTTTGAGAGTGGCGGGCTTGGATGCTTTTCATATTGTCTTCTTGTTGCCCAGCATTTGCGTCCAGGTCTCTTTTCAGCACTTCTGGGGAGAAGTGACAACCTCTTGCAATTCGGCTTCTGCTGGAGCACGGATTCTGATGAGAAACGTGACTATGGTGCCTGGGTGAGAACATAGATAGCTCAAGGCGTGCAGCTGGAGGCAAAAACAGACTTTTCAGGTCTTTTTCCAATGGTTTTCCCATGTATTTCCCACGTCCTCAACGTGAGGCGACCTCGAAATCACGGTTGCAGCGAGTTCTGAATCTGCTGAAGTATGTGCCAGACAAACCACCGACACCTCCTCCCGTGCAGACCTGGAAGCTCGGCGCGGAGTCTAGCTGAAAACTCTTGCTGAATTCGGCAGAATTTATAGTTCCCACAGCTGTCAGCCATCTCTGTGACTGTCACATCGTGAGGCTTGTACAGCCATGCCGGAGGGGAAGCTCCTTGAGATGCAAATTACAATATATTTTTTGGCATGGGCTTCAGTCTTTAGATTTTCCTTTGTCTTGGCTTCTGGGCCAGTCTCAGTTGTGGCCAGTCTCAGTTGTGAGTCAATTGATGTTAATTGATGATACTTGATGTTATATGATGTTAATTGATGTGAGTTGCATATATACTGTATAGCATTCGCCGCGTTGACTCCTAAGGCATCTGCTCTATTCCTGCAGCTACAGATCTGAGCCCACAGCTTGCAGAAGCACAGGCAGCAGTGACAAATGGCACGACGAAGCTGGACGCAGCAAAGCAGGCGCCGCAGAGCGGACAGCGGAGCTTACTCGCTGGGGAGAAGTGCACATGTACATTGAGGAATTGAGGAATCACAATGGAACATGATGGAATATGACGGAATCACTTCTTCACACACACACGGATATATATATATATATATAAGTATTTAATTATGTTAACTGTTAACTTGAGTTCCGATTGAACAGGATCAGGTATGACCATGGCGTTTGCAAGCCTCAGTACTGACCCTGTGTGTGCACTCTGTGAGGCAATGGATGCATCCCTTTCAGCGCTGACTGGGAACGAGACTCAAATTTCCAACGATGTTTACACCACCGCAATCCGGAATAGAGACAACCTTCGGAATGCGCAAGCTGCTGTAGACGGGGCTACTCGGACTGTGGACATGTTGCAAGCTCAAATCAGCAGTGCTGCCTCTGCAGTTTGGGATTCCGATGCTCCGGCACAGACAGCACAGACAGCACAGGCAGCACAGGCGGTATCCTCATCAAGTAGCAACAGCAGTGCTGCTACTGCAGGAGCAACAGCAGCAACAAATTCGACAAACGCTACCAATTCAACGACTTCTGGAGCATCAGCAGTCCTTTTGGCAAGCAACTCTGAAGTGGACGGTTGCAATGCAGATCTTGCATCCCCCGTTGATGTGGACCTCTCGACAGCAGAACATGTCGACGCGGGCCAAATTGGTGACAAGGCATCCGAAGCGCTTCTTTTTTGGCGCCTAGCTGCAACACCAGGACTACCATCTGAAGCTGCTGCTGCAGAGAGTGCAGCGATTGTCCCAAAACTTCGAATTGAAAACTTGGGTGACCGGCTACGAATCAAATCCGAGAAGCCTTTGATGGTTTTTTTGGCAGAGGGTTTGGAACTGCCTGTTTCCTTTGCTGATATCAGTGTGCCCGGTCAGCACTCTTTGGCTGGGAAAAGAGCAGCTGCAGAGGTGCAGCTAGTTCACATGCCCGATGATCCGTCCAAAGCAGTAGCAGTGTCCTTGCAGATGGACGCGGGCGATACAGAGAACTCTTGGTTTCAACACATGGGAGATGCATTGCCAAGGGCAGGTGATGCGACAGAGGTGCAAGGGACTGATCCCATGACAATGCACCCTGCATTCTCACGAGGAGTGGCCGGCCATTTCTTCCGATACAAAGGTCGTCTTCTGAAGGACTCACGCTGTGCACGCATCAGGCCGACTGTCAGTGTGAGTCTCTGCACGATGCTTTTGGTGCTTTTGGTGCTTTTGATTCTTGTGAACAACTCGAAACTTGATTGCTTTTGCAAACTCAGAGGCTTAGATGCTTTTGCATGCTTTTGCCTTGGGATTTGTGCGAAGCGATCCTTGCAGGTGGCACGTGCTCGAGGAGCGGGGCCACATCAGCAACAGGCAGTTGGCAGCTTTGAGAGAAGTCCTGCGTCCTCCTGGATCAAGCCAGATGGATCCCAGTGCACTCTCTCCGACTCACGACTGAAATCGGTTAGTTAGTATAGTTAGTCGTGGTCTAATGAACCTACTGGTGACTGCGGAGATTTGCATGTTTGCCGATACAGTTAGGCGCTTTGGTGATGTTACATAGCATATCCACAAATGCGATCACCCATTCCAGAGCATGGGCCAATGGGATCCAATGGGGTTGTTTCCTGCTGGGAGGCGGTGTTGTGCTGTTGTGGGACTGGGTGTCACAGTGAGTGACCAAATGACTCAAGGATGCTGTTGCGCAGCCAGCGGAAAGTGTCCCTCGCATCGGTGTGGCTTGCCCGCGTTTTAGACACATTTGTACCAGCTCTATTATGCGCAGAGCATGCTGGTGGCTCTTGGATTTTTGTTGCCGCAGCATGTTTTTGCCGAGGCGTTCACATACTCAGAAAGCTTCATCCCCCGACAGCGAGCAAGACGCTGCATACGAGCCTTGGCTTTTCCTCTCATTTCCGTCATGACAGTTAGAGGGACATTCAGGGACACTATTCTTTTTTCGCAAGTTTCCATCTGAAGCTTGCAACATCTTGCAATATCTTGCAACAAATGCTGAAGTGCAGTGCCAAGATGTGCCAAGGACCGCCCTTCACCCAGTCTGAAATCTCTGCTTCTCTCGCTGCCACGGCGAAGCTCCAGGGGACAGACCCTGTCACCATAGCTGCCATAGCTCAGACAGTTCAAAGATGTTCAGACGTGGCTTGAGTCGTGAAATGTCGTGAAGCGAGGACCAAAAAACCAGTCCACTTGCCGATGTGTGACGTTGTCGCATGACGACTCGAATCTCTTTGTCCAACGCCATGTCTGAACACACACTGCCCGAAAAGTTCTCCCACAGGCCCACAGGCTCACAGGCATAGCTCTTCGACCTTGCAGGAGGTCGGTCTCCAAGTCGAAAGTGAAGTTCCGTTTCCAGATGTTGTGCGGGTGGTGTTGTGAGAAAAGAAACAGACACACGTGCACACTTACGATATAACTTAACGATATAATTTGATGCAATAATATATATATATTATCTATACATATACAACATCACTCAACATCTATGTGTATATATATATATCGATATCTACTATATATACCAGTAGTGCCCGCATGAGGCAGGAGCGGAAGTTTCAAAAAAGGAAAGTGACTATAGCGAAAAGGCGCCTAACTATCGGAAAAGCAAGTTTTGCGTTGTCAGGTCCAGCTTGACTGGTGCAGATGAATGAATGAATGAAATGAACTGAATGAACAAATGAATGAATGAAAGAACTTGAATGTACTGTAATCCTGAGATTTCTAATTTACAGCATTTCGTGTAATTTACAGCATTTCGTGTACTTTACAGCATTTCGAACAATACATGCCAGGATTCCTCGGCAGTCAAAAGCCCGACAAACGAATGCTAGCCTTTCTAAACATGCCGGATCACCATTGGGAATGCAGCCCGAAGAGGCATGCACATTCATGGGCATTAGCACCCGCCAAAACAAGAGCCGTCCTAATCTCGACCCCAGATGCACTGGTTGATGTGATGTAGTGTTGAAGTGATGTAGTTTTGAAATGGTGTAATGATTTATGTGATTTGGTGTTGAAGTGATGTAATGATTGATGTGATGTAGTGTTGACGTGATGTAATGATTTAGGCGATGTATTGTTTCAAAAATAACTGTTCGTAACTTGGAAGTTTCTTCCTAATTTTCCTTTTGATAATCTACATGTGAATGCATGCGAATAACATTTGAAGATTATGGTTCTAAATTGTACCAAGTTCTTCGATTAGTTGCACCATCTTGAAAGATCTTGGGCGATGGATATAATTAGAACGCATTCGGCAGACAGAAGGAGAGGATTAATAAGAGTAGATGTTTGTTGGTGTGGTTCTACTGGACACCCTATGTCGGGAAAATGCCGCTGCTCACTTGCTGCATTGATTTGGCCCCCATCTGTGCTCAAGCAAGGGGGTAATGATCACCACTCAGACTCCAGGCAGGTCCATGAGCAAAGAGCTTGAGTCGCTGTATGTTGCTCTGAGTGTCACATTTTCCCACCATGAAACATGGACTCTAGCCATGTGAAATCGTGCTATCTCCAGATTGGGAAATGAAGCTTGGCTAGAGTGATGACCTCAGAGACCAATGATGCCATTCACAGTTTTTTCACGGTATATACCGCAGACGGCATCTCTTTTTATATTTACATCTTTCTTGGCTTTTGACAGAAACTTCTCTGGATCGGTAAAACAGCTGAGGCGGCGAGATCTGAAGCAACGGCAGCAAAGGCCCAGTGTCTCGATGCTTCCGCCAAAGGCCAGAATGTAATGCATGGTTGTTTCCACCTGTCACAGATGGCTACAGATGGCTTTACTAAGCTTTACCATGTGCTGACCAGAGCTTTATCATGTGCTGACCAGACTTAGGTTCCTTTTTTCTTGCCCATTCCAGCTTTTGTTGTCCTCTGTCAGTTGTGGTATTGAAGTTCGTTGACCCTGTAGCCTAGCATTGTGCTCAAGTTCCGACGGCTTCGCTCAGCCCACGAGCAGTGCGTCTTTCATGGGATTCGGAGGCCAGCGTGTCTATTATTTTAAGTTGCTCAATTACGCTATGTCAACTTATGAGAATGATAAAGTTGATAAAGGATGTCAAAATCAATTCAATATACATAGAAAGAAATAAAGAAAGAAAGAAAGAAAGGAAAGAAAGAAAGAAAGAAAGAAAGAAAGAGAAAAATAAAGAAAGAAGAAAGAGAAAAATAAAGAAAGAAAGAAAGAGAAAAATAAATAAATAAATAAATAAAGAAAGAAAGAAAGAAAGAAAGAAATAAAGAAAGAAAGAAAGAAAGAAAGAACGAAAGAAAGAAAGAAAGAAAGAGAAAAAGAAAGAAAGAAAGAAAGAAAAAGAAAGAAAGAAAAAGAAAGAAAGAAAGAAACAGAAAGAAAGATAGATATGTCTCATGGTCTTCACTTTGCCTGTTCCGCTTTAACTTGCTATCCTGGATGCCCTGCATTAGCTTTGATCGAGATTCAGATGACAGGCAACGGCAAAGGCTGGGGATGGGGCTGGGCACCACCGATGTGGTTCCCAAAAGGCTTTGGCAAAGGTGGCTGGGGCCGCCGCCGAGGACCTCGGATTCTTGGCAGACCTTGGCCCCCCAAAAGCTCCAGATATACAACTGGGCGACTGGGCGACGTATTTCCCAAAAGTAGGAAATGGAGTCAAAGGACGCTAGTCGATGTTTTTTCACGTTTGTTTTTGATCCTGCAGATCAGCGTCTTGTGATGCCCATCATGTTTGTGGCACCTTAGGATTGACCCGGAAATGAAGCAACTTGGCATATCTGGGCATCACCTTTGCTATGGCATATCTTACTACATGCAGCATACGACAATTTATAGACTAATCGTTGACCTAGCTTCAGGGGGTGTCATGGGAGCGGAGCTACGAGCCGAGGATCTGGATTGGAAACCTGCCCGAAGATTGCACATGGAAGGACCTCCAGACTTTGGGGAACACTGTTGCCGCTACTCGTTGGGCGGAGGTTTTCCGTGGCAAAGGCGGGCTGAGAGAAATTAGGTGCAGCACGTTGCACTGATTTTAGTTAGTTCCAAATGTTCCAGAGCCGATTGTGGTGTTTGGACTATGCAATGATGAGCACTCAAGCACTGCCGATTCGCTGCCCTCAGCTTGGCAGCTTTTGCGGCGTTTTTGCGGATCCTTGCCTTAGACGAGGCAAAGGCACTGGAGTAATTGCCTACAAAACTGCTGAGGATGCTTGGGGCTGAGGGACTGACCTGATGGAGCTGATGGAGCTTTGGCATTTGGCATGTTTTGACTTTTGATCCTACTTCCCTCTGCTTCCCCAGGTGACGGAAGCCATGAAATTGCTCCCTGGCAAGGAGATCAATGGTCAGACCATCCAGGCAAGACAGGATGAACGTGCTAGCATGACTTATATTGTACATACAATCACACGCACACACGCACACACTATTAATTAAACTCTATATATACACATAATACATGAATGTATATACATTTTTGCACATATACACATAGACATACATACACATACATATATCATATATGTCCACATTTATAAACGTACATATTTGCAACCATTGTCCATGTGTTCAATACATTTTGGTAAGCTGAAAGGTTTGAAAGGGAAAGCTCATGTCATGGAGATTGTTCGCGTTGGCTTCCGACGACAAAGTAGGGACCGGCCCCAAAAACAGTGAGCTGATGCAATTGGGGGATCAACTAGCAGATGAGATGTCAACAAAGACAGGTCGACGCATGGCAGAAAGCACCTCCTGCAGAGGCAGAAGGTTGAGTGTCGCTTGGCCTGCACAAGTGCAGAGTGAATGCTTGAGTCCCAGGCGTCAAGTATGGCTCCTTCCCCAACTTTTCCGATGTTGTTTTGCCTTGTTTTACCTTTTACATCGTTCCACATTTGAGCCGAAATTTAGGTGAAGCACGGTGAAGCCTGTACTTTATGCATTCCTGGAACTGAGCCAGGGCTTTGATGCCAAAGCTTTCATTGGCCAATAATGGCTCATGTGTAGAGTATGATGGACCTGCTGCAGCTGAACGGCTCCATACCTGTTTCGCACAGCAAAGGCTTGAAGAGACTGTGACTGCACTCGTGATCTTTTTTTTTCCCAATATATGGTCTAACAACACATTTGACATGGGTTTCAGTTTCTGTTTGACTACATGATCTCATACCCCTTTAGCTTCTAGACGGTTTTTCTTCGCTCGGTGGAGTGCCTTTTGAACACTTGCAGTTTGAATCTTCAAGTGCCACCGTGACAACTGTGGGCACAAACTATCAGACAGACTGACGGTATTTCTGGATCGGGCAGAGTGGCGCCTTTGGCGAAATGCGCTTTGCAGCTTCACTGTCTCAGTTCCACGGGTAGAATCGCATGCCGCAAGGGAAAGCACAATATGAATGCTCCCAAAAGCATATGCGGATCATGTGATGATGCGAATGACGTGAAGCACTCTGGTCAGGCCAAAGCTCCTGCTGTGCCTATGAAGGAGTGGCATCCATGATTCAACCACTGACAGGCTCACTATGCAAGGAGAATACGATTGGCCGTCATGGCAGCAGTGTCACAGATTTTGTATCCTTTTCCGTGAGCACCATGACACGACAAAGTTTTGGAGTCGCCGGATCATTCTAGATCTGCAATCTGCAAGAATGGTTGACTCAAGTCAATCACAGCAGATCCTGAAGAAAAGACTGGCATTTTTATTTTCCCGGGGGTTGTTTTGGAGCTACCGTGATGCGCCCGTATTCTTAAGCGTGCTTAGCAAAGTTTGTTGAGTGGAAGCTTGAAAGAATCCAGTAGGTGATGAGTCTGAGCAGAGTGCATAGACTCGACAAATGTTGACAAAAGAATTGACGAATAAGTATGAATAAGTGCGCAAAGGTGTTGACAAATGGGAGACCATGGACATGTTAATGCCTTAAGGCTGTTTGATGCTGTTTGAATGTCTGAAGTGTTTGGTTTTCAAATGGGCAGGAGCTCGGGGAGCCTGACCCGAGTCTGCGCAGCTGCTGGAGAAGTTGGACTTTTGTTGCGCAGGAGTTGCGAAATCGGGCATCATTTTTACAGATAGATAGAAAGATAAGATAAAACAAGATGAGATGAGATGAGATAAGGTACATAGATAGATCTGTCAATAGATAGATGAAGAAAGAAAGACAGACAGACAGACAGAAAGAAAGAAGGAAGGAAGGGAGGAAGAAAGAAGAAAGAAATAAATAAAGAAAGAAAAGAAAGAGAGGAGTTAACAATTCACGTGCCGTACAGCATTGTTTAGGGCGTCCCCTCATGCTTCCGTGTGATTTGTATTCCAAGTTGTCATGTACATGTTTTGGCTTTGCCGACTTGTACTTTTGGCTTGATACTGCTGCCCGTTTTGCAGCACCACATCTGGTTTCCCCTATTTGTGCTGTGGCGAGTGGGGCAAACAGCTGGTTAACAGCCTCAGCATTTGATACAGATAGATAGAAAGGTGAGATAAGATAAGATGAGAGAACATGCCATAAGATAACATGAGATGAGACAAGATAGATGGATAGATAGATTAGACACATTATATAGATAGATTAGATTATTAGCTAGATAAATATCTAGATAATATATGATAGTATGTTAGATAAGATAGATTGGATTGGATTAGGTTAGATTAGATCAGGTTCGCTTCGATTCGATAGATGGATAGATGTGTAATATCAGTAATAGTATCTATGTTCAAATCGGTTTCTTAAAGCACTATTCTATCTGATAGTGGTCATAGCAGTGTAGCCAGTAATAGGGTGGATAGTATGTAGTCATACTAGGCATCATATTGTCCAGATAGATAGACAGAACGATATATAAGATAAAACAAGATGAGATGAGATGAGATAAGGTATATACATAGATAGATCTGTCAATAGATAGATGAAGAAAGAAGGACAGACAGACAGACAGAAAGAAAGAAAGAAAGAAGGAAAGAAATGAAGAAAGAAAGATAGATAGATAGATAGATAGATAGAATGATTCAAAGAAGCTGACCTTTGCATTGGCAACGTGAGTCATGAGTGAGTCATTTGCTTCAGACAGTTTTGCAAGTGGACTTCTGTATTCTTTCTTTTTCTTGATCCCTAGGACAAGAAGTGCCAAAAAAGCAGATGGAGGAGGCGGAAGAACCATGAAGAAGAAATAAGAAACATGAAGAAACATGACATGTGCATTCCTCTGCCATAGGACAAAGCAAGAACATGATGGAGTGACCCGGGTGTCGTTTGTGGCCTCCTTCTTCCTGCCAGGAGCCGCAGCTGCAAAGTCTGCTGCATCATGTGCAAATGCCTCAGAATGTTCCGCCTATTCCCAAAGCTGTCCAGTCTGAAGTTTCTATATGACCCGCGATTTGCGTGAGATGCAGGGTACTTGCCGTGTGTAGCAAAATGAGCCAAGTTTTCTTCCTATGCGCTCAGGAGTCACCAAAGCGAAAGGCGGCAAAAAAGGAAAACTTCGCAGGGCATGCCACAGATGTTCATCAAAGAAATTTAAGCAGCAACACAAAGGATACACATGTCACATTGACACACCCACATGGTGTGCCATGATATACAGTAAGCTTCAGGTGGCCATTACTAGTGGTGATTCACTGGTGTTTTGCTTGGCACAGCCATTATTAATTCCGATATTTTGAAGTGAAAGGTACATGTATGTTGCAGGTGAATTTGGGCTGGTTGAGGTCCAGGATTGTTCCTGCTGTCTGAAGTAACCTGCACGCAGTTCAGCATGCTCAAGATAGTGGGTTTGATGTTTCAGCAACCAAACGTAATGATCCTGAAAAGCGATTTGTTTTCTTTGACTACGACGGTGTGATTCTTGGAGGGCTTTGTAGCAAAAGATTGTACATGTGTGTTGCGATTTGCAGTCCAAATGTGCAATCGACCAAAGCAACCTTTTCGTTTGGCATGGGTGGACGCATGCCAAAGTGCCATGGATGATTCAGGCAGGGGCTTGGTGTTACTTCGAGATGTAGACTTTTCTGTTTGCACAGGATTTAATCGGTGTTGGTATTCCTGAGGTGTTGTGACTTCTCAAAGCGGAAATGTTGTGTCGCATCCTCATGCTATCCTCCTGAATTAAGAGATGAGACTTGCCAGACTTGAGCTGACGAGAATCCGAAGTCTCGCGAAGCAGAGTTTGTCCTGAGATTCCTGAGGCTGAAGTCTCGATCTGGTGAGGCTCGACCCTCCCTGTTGGACGTTTCTACAGGCAGAGGCATCACGCTTTTCCGCACTTTGCTGCCCCTCATCAGGCCCCCCAGCTTGAGAACTTTGTTCTGCGGGCAGCCAGCAGAAATGGCAATCGACGGCAATCAAGGCCACAGCGCATCAGTCTCAAATCCATCCTAGCAATCCATAGCTGCCATAGCTATTCATACCTACTCAGACCTGTTCATAGGCATTCAAAGCTGTGAGTTTTGCTGTCCGCTTTGGCTTTGACCAAAAGTCATATGGCGGCATGCTGGTGTCTAAGTGAGACAAGAGTCAAGTCACTCTGTTGCACGATAGCGGCAATAGCGCGGCCGCTGGCGTCTCTAACTCTTGCCAGACGGTCGCCTTCGCTTGCTGAGTCGCTTGCTGAGTCCTACTGAATGAGCAGAAACACAGATGTGTGACTTGAGAAGGAGCATCATTCTTGTGCTTAAACATAATATACCAGTAGTACCCGCACGAGGCAGGGCGGAAGTTGCCTTAGGGATATATAAGACCTTTCTCATCTATAGAACTTGCATGCGCCGTGTGCCAGCCAAGCCCACAAACTACTTCCCAGTACTTCTTTGTTCTACAAAGCTGCACAAACTACTTCCCAGTACTACTTTCTACTACAAAGCTTGCCCAAACTACTTCCCAGTACTACTGTGTACTACAAAGCTTGCAAAAAGTACTTCCCAGTACTACTTTGTAGTACAAAGCTTGCAAAAAGTATTTCCCAGTACTACTTTGTGATACGGAGCTTGCACAAAGAAAACTTTTATACACAGCAAGTTCTTTCGCAGAGAAGCTTTTACACACAGCAAGCTTTTTAAACAGAGAAGCTTTTACACACAGAAGCTTTTACACACAACAAGCTTTTACACAGAGAAGCTTTTACACACAGCAAGTTTTCACACACAGCAAACGTTTACACACAGAACACTTACACGCAGTGCTTTTACACATGGCAAGCGTTTACACACACAGAAACTTTTACACAGAGACGCTTTTACACACAGAGAAACTCTTACACACAGCAAGCTTTTACACACAACCTCTTTTGCACAGAGCAAGCTTTCACACACAGCAAGCGTTTACACAGAGAAACTTTCTTGTACATAATCACAGTAGGAATTGCAGCTCCAAAACCGGATCTCGACGCCAAAGCGAAAAAAGACGATTTTGAAGCACTTTTTGTAAATTTTAAAAAGGATTTTTAAAAGGAAAACTACTAGCGCCAAAATTGAGAAAATCTGCCGACAAATCACTTTCGCAGCCTTGATGCAGCCACTCCAATACTATTTATGAGACCCAGCTGCAAAAGACAATAGTATAACGCATGCAGCTGCAGCACCAAGCAACCTTGACGCAGCCACTACAATGCGATCTGCAGAGACTGAGTTGCAAAACACACTAGAACTACGCGCAACATCGCGCAACGGCATCGGAAATTGCAGCTCCACAGCCGGATCTCGACGCCAAAGCGAAAAAAAGACGATTGCGAAGCACTTTTTAAAAGGATTTTTAAAAGGAAAATTACAAGCGCCAAAATTGAAAGAATCATAAAAAATCTGCTGACAAATCACTTTCGCAGCCTTGATGCAGCCACTCCAATACGATTTACGAGATCCAGCTGCACAAGAGAGTAGTATTACTCATGCAGCCGCGGTGCCACGCAACCTTGACGCAGCCATTACAATAAGTTTTGCAGCATCACGGTGCAAACCTGCACGTATCTACGCACGTGGCAACATCAAAGGACGACAATCATGCAGCCATTCCAATGCGATCTGCAACCACAGATTCAAGAAACGCATAGAACTACGCACACAGGAACAACCACTCGTTGCAAAATACATAGACGGAATCAATCGTGTCCGGAACGACCGCAGCCACACCCGCCGCACACACGAGGTGCCTTTCATCGCCGCCTGCAGCCACTTTACACTTTACAAGGAAAAACCAGAAGGTTTTGTGCTCCGGCTTCCTCCCCAAAACATAGCCCATGCAACATCCATGCAGCCATTCCAATGCGATCTGCAACCACAGCTTCAAGAAACGCATAGAGCTACGCACACACGAACAACCACTCGTTGCAAAACACATAGAAGGAGCCAATCGCGTCCGGAACGACCGCAGCCGCACCCGCCGCACACACGAGGTACCTTTCACCGCCGCCTGCAGCCACTTTACACTTTACAGGGAAAAACAGAAGGTTTCGTGCTCCGGCTTCCTCCCCAAAACAAAGCCCATGCAACATTCATGCAGCCATTGCAATGCATTTTGCAGCATTCCCTTCGTCGCCACGTCACCACTTTCCTTCGTCACCACTTCCCTTCGTCACCACTTCCCTTGGTCACCAATTCCCTTCGTCACCACTTCCCATCGTCACCACTTCCCTTCCTCACCACTTCCTTTCGTCACCACTTCCCATCGTCACCACTTCCCTTCCTCACCATTTCCCTTCGTCACCACTTCCCAAAGTCACCACACCCCCTTAGTCACCTTCCCTTCGTCACCACTTCCCTTCGTCACCCCTTCCCAAAGTCACCACTTCCCATCGTCACCGCTTCTCTTGCTCACCACTTCCCTTCGTCACCCCTTCCCTTCGTCACCACTTCCCTTAGTCACCACTTCCCTTTGTCACCACTTCCCTTCGTCACCACTTCCCTTCATAGCCTTTTATTCTTTTGTGATGTATTGTGACACTGAACCACCCTTCATTGCCTTATTCTTTTGTGATGTATTTGTGATGTAATTATTGGCACCACTTCACCGCCCTTCATCAATGTCAAGTCTCACAATTCTATTTGTCCGTAACTCGGAAGATTGCTTCCCAAATTCCTTTGATTACATAGGTTGAGCTGCTGATGCAGTGATCAAAAGGCTGCTGTTCGTGCCTTCTTTTCTCGAACCTCAAGTCTGTAGCCGTCATGACGTCATGACTCCCCATTCATCCACAGGCCCACAGGCATAGCTCTTCGACCTTTCAGGAGGTCGGTCTCCAAGCCGAAAGTGAAGTTCCACTTCCAGATGTTGCGCGGGTTATGTTGAGAAAATATGCAGACGCACGTGTACACTTATGACACAAGATATTATTGTGCATAATGTGTATATATACGTATAACATATAACATTCGAAGATTTTTGTTCTAAATTGTACCAAGTTCTTCGATTAGTTGCACCATCTTGAAAGATCTTGGGCGATGGATATAATTAGAACGCATTCGGCAGACAGAAAGAGAGGATTAATAAGAGTAGATGTTTGTTGGTGTGGTTCTACTGGACACCCTATGTCGGGAAAATGCCGCTGCTCACTTGCTGCATTGATTTGGCCCCCATCTGTGCTCGAGCAAGGTCTGGCATTTTCGGGGGTAATGATCACCACTCAGACTCCAGGCAGGTCCATGAGCAAAGAGCTTGAGTCGCTGTATGTTGCTCTGAGTGTCACATTTTCCCACCACGAACCATGGAATAACCATGTGAAATCGTGCTATCTCCAGATGGGGGGATGAAGCTTGGCTAGAGTGATGACCTCAGAGACCAATGATGCCATTCACAGTTTTTTCACGGTATATACCGCAGACGGCATCTCTTTTTATATTTACATCTTTCTTGGCTTTTGACAGAAACTTCTGTGGATCGGTAAAACAGCTGAGGCGCCGAGTTCTGAAGCAACGGCAGCAAAGGCCTCAGCCAGGAGTGTCTCGACATGTCTCATTCGTTGGTGGGGAGCTGGCTGCAGCATGCTTCATTCGAATAATGCTTGAGAAGCGTCGTTCCTAATTCAGATTGGTTCTGTCCGCTGCTCTGGACGCAGTTCCTCACGAGTAGAAATCCAGGGGTCCGAAATCTTCCAACACACTCAACATTGAAACCGCGATCGAAACGATGTGCGTAAATGTAGACACAGGAAATGCCTTCTAGAACCTGGAAGGCAGAGCTAGTTTGGCATCAAAACCATCGCCACAGTTCGCGCTGAAAGCACAACTCAGCTCTAAGATGCAGCGAATTCCACAGCTCAGATTTGCTGGTGAGCAGCTTTAGAAGCCATGGCTGCCATGGCTACTGGCGGGAGTTCTGCTACTGTTGATAGTGCAGACATAGTGAGGACGGGGGCCACGCCAAATGCAGTCATTGTCGGGTGAGAATGGATCGCGGTTGACCAAAAAGACCTGTCAGGTTGATTTTGCAGAGCCCTGTTTGCAAGAAGAGTGAGCTGCATGAAAGGTGGACCGTTAAAGGTTGCGAAGTGGTAACAGGTGGTAACAGGTGGTAGCGATGTGATTGGAGTCTGGGAGTTCACAGTGGGCTTCACGGTCGGACTCTTGACCGAAGAGCTGAGGTTTTGCAAGGAGAATAGCCTTTTCAGGACGTCTTCATGAGATGCCGCAGGTGATTTCACTACCAGGGTTTGATATCATTTTGAGTGCTACACTATGAACATCCATAAAATATCCAGAAATGATGCACCTTTGGCTGAGGAGGCATGAGCTGAGGAAACTGAGTGTGAAGCTTTGAAGCAAGCCACAAACCTATTATATAGGAGCTATTGGACCTAGCTCCATTGCTCGTTCAGGACCTTGCAGTGCCTACAGGAAGAATCCCGAGTGTCTCTCAATGCGGTTGACTCCCTCGATGCCTTGTTGAGTGACATCAACAAAGGCCAACGATGGTGAATGCATTTGCTTCGTTTACAATACATATCCAGGTGTAGCAGATATTATCAGATGTTATTGCACTCTTGTCCTCGGTGTTACCAGTTCTTTGCCATTTCTTGCTGCACGGAACCCGGAAATATTGGCTGCTTGGAGGTCATTGGGACTCTGTGCTGCAACTTGGGATCCATTAGTATTGCCACAAATTTCTCAGGATTGCGCTTACATCATTTCTGTGTCCATTTGTCGGGGGAACTCATCATAGATAGAGTACATTCCAGTAAATAATTAGAAGGCCAAGGTTTGAATCCAAAAAGACAGGCAGTTGCGACTCACTGTGACTACTTATGACTACTTGCTGTACTAGCAAGCCTGTTGCGTTTTCAAGGCAGGCCGTTTCCTACCTGAGTTTGCCAGCTAACATCCTCCAAGATTTGTACAGCCAGGCTGGGTAGCTGCGTCAGCCTCTGTCAGCAGACCGAGTAGTACTGAACCTCATTTCACATGAATTTCCATCAAAAAAAAGACATTTCAAACTCAGCAAAGTGAAGATATGAATGCCAGTAGTTGACACGATGAGAAGAGACAGAGCAAGAGTTCAAATTCGACGCGCAAAGACCAGAATTTGCCAGAATGAGTGACCGCAAAGCGAGACTTTGTGAATCTCTGTGAGGTGGTTTTAGAGCTTGCTGAACTGCGGGAAGTGGAGACTGCACATCATTTACTTCGTGAGACAGCCCCCATGAGCTCCTTGAAACAAGCGAATCCTGAGAGGCAGGAGAACTGGGTACCTGGGAGCCCAGGAACATCGCAATCCTGAAACACTGCAACTCTGGAAGCATGGAAACTATGGAAAATATGGAACATATGGAAAACACTGAGAGTTCTTTGCCTCCAGAGACTTTGCAAACCTCAAAGCTTTGAACTATAAACCCAGCCCTTCCGAATCAAGGGTACCAGGCTACTGCTAGAATGTTTCAACCCCTAAAACATGTGAATTCTGGCCTTGACATAAAGGATTCAAGACAATGGGCCACGGGCATTGTGACCCAGAAAAATGGAAATGTGTTTGGAAGATTTTGAGAACCAGTCAGTGTTTGCTGTGACGCCGGAGGTATCTTCGCATTGAAGCTACTTGGGCTTGAAATGTCCAGCAAGAAAGAACCAGGAGCATTTTCCTGCTGGCTGCTTGCAAGTCATGTAAGCACTCTCTTCTTTGGCAAGTAGCCAGCCTACCGAGGCATTGGTAAAGAAGAACCATTTCGATGCTGGTGAAGCATATGAAGGCTTGACAAAAGAGAAGATACGAGGCAATCTGGCACAAAGCGTGAGCGCCATGGCTGCAATCGGCATACGGCATGCTGTCATTGCCACCAGTTGCTAATGCAAACATCCTCCCTTTGACTCGCCTTTACTGATGTGTTTGCGGCTATAGTCTACTATATTTTGTTCCAACATTGCTGCTGCTGTTCCTTTTCTTGTCGGTGTTGTGTGCGACCTAGCTGGAGGAATGAAATGTATGAGTGTAGAATCGTGCAGAGCTGTTTAGGGAAGATCAGTGTGATATTTAGGTAGCCTCCGGATAGGCCATAAAATTCCATAAGCCCGCGCCCTGTCATTCTGCATCGACTCAGGTAAGCACGTGCAGGCCGGGGTGCAGTGTGCGTCGTATGAAGATCTTGTGCATGGCCCGTGAGGATGTCATTGCCACTGCCCCTTTTCCCTGAGGTCGCGCCACCATCCAGGCTGTTAGCTTTAGTGGGCCAGGCTATGAAGTGGCAGCAACATGTTGGCCTTTTGCCCAAGAACGCACCTTGTTTGCACAGGTCCTTGCTTGCGATGCAATGAAACGATATGAAATGCATGGGAATGCATGGTGCAGATATGTGCAGATTACATCAGATTGCTACAAGGAATTTCACCGAGATGTCACGCTGAGGCCCGGATCGATGTCTTCCGAGGTGTGGCAAAGGACTCCGAAGTCGAAGCGGAGCTGTGCCCCACTATGGTGGCCCGAACTGTGCTGAAGCTCAGGAGCTCCCTTTGTTTCTTCATAGCTTGATTGCTTCATAGCCTTCATAGCCTTCATAGCCTTCATAAGCTTCATAGCTTGATTACAATTTGATTATGCTTGATTGCTTGAGCCTGGCTTTTGGATGCATTTGGTATAGTCTTGCTGGGGTGGGAACGCTCAGTTCGCTTTGAGGTCAAATTTGGTGAAAAGTCGCACCCTGAATGTGTTGCTTTCTCGCCGGATGGCCAGTTTTGCGTCTCCGGCTCGGTGGATGGCTTCGTAGAGGTTTGGGACCACCAAACTGGAACTCTTCGGAAGGATTTGCAATATCAAGATGAAGGCACGCTAATTTTGGGTACGGGTACTCTATGTGACTTCATATAGAAATATGCTGTAAGCATTTGTAAGCATTCTCGATCATTCCCGGTGATTCAGGGGAGATGTTCGTATGTATTCTTAAGATTTCTTAAGCTTGGTTTGTCGATTCGTTGGAAGTGGATGTGCCTGGGTGTGCTGCAGGCAGCTTTATGATGCATGAAAAGGCAGTCATCGCGGTGGCCTTCAACAAAGACTCGGAGCTGCTCGCAAGTGGCTCTCAAGATGGGCAAATCAAAGTTTGGCGAGTTGCCACGGGTCAATGTGTTCGCCGATATGAAAAAGCCCACAATGAAGGGGTGACCTGCATCACATGGTCAAAGGACTCCACTCAGCTACTGACAGGCTGGGCGACTGGGCAGTGGCAAAAGTCACAGAGGAGTTTGCAGAGAATCAATAACATCCAATTCGACTGTTGTGCCATGTTGTGCCAAAGGTGTTTCCATTTGCCCGGGGCTTTCCACCTGGATTGGGGATAAGTAAGGGGGAAATCGAGTCCGATTCGGTTCTCCAGATTGAGCCTTGTACCAGGCTCGTTTGACTTCACAGCTCGTGCACATGGCATCAAGTCCGGCAAGACGCTGAAAGAATTCAGAGGACATAAATCCTACGTCAACTCGGCCATGTACACCAAAGATAGCTCAAGAGTTGTCACAGCTTCATCCGTGGCTAAGCTGAACCATCCAAAAACAACCCCAGGGGTATCCCATCGTTCCAGGATTCTGTTGATGCGAAAATCCATTCGAGGAGTCCATGAGTCATCAAACACAATCGGATCAGCAACTCTCTATGAATTGCCATGAGTCTTTCGGCCAACTTGAGCCTTGAGGGCCTTGAGGCATGATTATTTGTTCCTGGAGCATCCTTGTAAGCCCTTTCTGACACTCCCTGCCAAACCGCTGCTTCGATTCAAGGACAGCCATGTGATAGTCTTCGATGCCAAGACGACTGAAATCTTGAACACCCTCACGCCACCACCGCCCGCGCATTGTAGCTCCATTATGGACTACGCAGTGAATTCTGCCACTGAGCTGCAGTGGCTGTAGGTTCTTCATCATGAGTGGCTCAGCCCCCGCCTCTTCAGAAGGCACACTCTGTGGAAATCAAGGCAATCGTTGCGCCAAAGATACCAGGGTATGCCGAAAACGAAGACCTAATCTTTGCGACTTTGACTGCAATCAGCCTTCAGTCAATGCTACTTGCAGGTTTCCGGAGGAGCTTATTGTAGTTTGTCGCGGGGAATTTCCACAGTCATTTACAAAGCTGCGTGAGGTCTGCACCAGAACCAACACAATTTTGCCTCTTGGATCCAGATTGGCTGGAATTCGATTTGATTTTCGATACTTCTTTCAATGAGTTTACTTCATGATCCTGAAAGACAGCGCAGAGAGCTGAGTTGCCGGAGTTTGTTGCTAACCTCTAAGGCTGATGAATCTTGCAGGGCAGGCAGGGATGCTGGCATTCACCTTCAGCATTCAGGATATTTCAGGATCATTGGTGTGCACTTGTTTGCCACACGGTCACTTTTGCCATGGTCAGGTTCTGAAGAGCTTTTGCTCCGGGAAGCGAGACAAAGGGGATTTTGTTGCCATGTCACTTGCCTTGGTCATGGTTCCATGTTCTTCCGATGCAGGGGGCCACAAATGCATGAGATGCATGATCCATCGCAAGCTTCCTAGACTTTGTTTGATGACTTAAACATCTTAAATCGTGATAATCGTGCATCTGAGGACAATATCCCCCAAGGGAGAGTGGCTTCATGCGGTTGCTGAAGACAACACTTTGTCCTTCAGAAGCAATGGGACATTTGAAGCAGAATGGCTCAGAGAATTCGCCAATTCACATAGATTCACTAGAGTCACAGATGTTCCCTTCATGTTCCAGCTACAACAGCTATGGCTATATTTATTTATATTATATATATATATTATATATGTAATATATGCTCCATTATACTCCCCTTGTTGATGATCCCCCTGATGCCTCGCTCTTGTTTTTGATGGGTCTCCAGGTATTGCTTCTCAGTGGCTTCTGGTGGTCTGGAGCAGACGTTGAAGGTTGCAGAAAAGGAGGCGGCTCAAAGCAATCGAAACACAAAACAATGTCACATGAAGTCGAAAGATGTCAGAAGATGTCACATAATGTCACTATGTAATTACTTATGTAGTGAGGTAGAGACTTGTTGATTTCGTATGTCACCTGGTGCATAGTTTGAATCATTTTTTCCATCACAGGTCATTGGGCTGGCACACCACCCAAGCCGTAACGTCATCGCTGGCTTTTCGGGTGATGGAACCCTGGTCTTCATGAGAGCCTGAGTGGGTTGTGTCGTGAGTTGCCGGCCCTATCGGTGCAAGCCAGTGGCAGCCAGCGAAGCAGCCCAGTCTGCAGTAACATGCTGCGCACAAACTGGAGCAAGATCCATAAGATCCCTGGGTGCGCCTGATCTGAAAAGGCAGCTGTCACTGAGTCGTTCCTGCCTGCTTCCCATATTTAAGCCACAGCTGCGGGCTTCGTTTGTGCCCCCGTGCCCAAAGTTAGCGCTTGACGGATTGGCTTTCCTTCCACAGGTCAGAGCCACACCGACTTGCTCAGATCTCAAAACAAAGAAACATGCCTTTTTCAGGGGATGTTCGCTGTGGGTTTGGCAAGTTCCCAGTTATCAAGGTTTGCAACCAGAGCATAACTTTCAGTAACTCTTGGGTTCCTATTTGCGGTTGTGCAGCTACGGCCAAATTGTTGAGTTTTGTTGTGGCCAAGGTGACGATGGCTTCACGCGACCATGACGTTGTCCTTGTGCAAGGTGGCTTGCAAGCACTCTATACTGGTTGAAGTTTTCCAGACCTCTGAAGCGGCATGAGCTCAGGTGATGATGCCGAGGCAAGAGAAAGTGCAATTCATGACTTCTGTGTCTCATGTTTCTTGATCCGCTACTGGGCACTTGAAGAACAAAAGTAACAAAAGCCTCAAGCGCCCCTCTCAGGCACTTCCCAGACGTGGGACTGGAGGTGGCGAACGGAGTTTCAGCTACAGTTCCTTGCTCTAAAACTCTAAAACTCTACAGTACGGAATTTCAGGGGGCAATTTCTTTTCGAAACTGGATTGATTTGGCACCAGTATTCCCAGCGTTCGCCAGTGACGTCCTCCTTGTACTCTGCCCTGCGAAGGCTATAGTCGCAGCTCGAGAGGCAGTCATTGTCAAAGCTCCGGCTGGTGTTGATGTTGGCCACTGATGCGAGCTTGTTTGGCTTGAAGTATTCCAAATCAAACAAGATAGCAAACGTGTCCGTGCAGTTGAAAAGAGGGCCTTCATACACTTCCCTTCAATAGTTTCACACATGAACTAGTGGCCGGAATTGCTCAAGACTCTACTTCGACTCTCAGGTGCACAGTACCTTGGCCTAGAGAATTGGATAGTGAAAACCCATGCACCGTACAGCGCCATGGCCAGAGCCATTGGATCATGGCGGCCTGCCTTTGTGCTGTGGGCTTGGGGGGTCTGTGTGCTTCGTCCTGGCCAGGAGCCGTGTCATTGGCATGTCGTCAAATGTCGTCAAATGTCGTCAAATGTGATTAATATATGTTAATATATGTTAATATATATATATGTCAATGTTTTTAGCATTTGGCAGCTCTATGAAGTCAACAGCGTTCTGCTACATTTCCTTCTGTGCCCTTCCAAGTGCCCAATTGTTGCGTGCAGGGCTTTGTTGGACTTAAAAGCAGTCACGACAAAGGACCAAGGTGCAGGGGACATCAAGCAGCTAAGTGAACTTGTCTCATTCATTCTCATTCCTTGTAGGTGCTTTCAGCTCACCTTGGGAGCTTTCGACAGCACATGTTTATTGCAATGTGTTCTGCACAAGCTGCTCCGTAGGTTGCGACGATATGGGTCAGCAGCGGAAATTGGGCGGAACATCAAGTTGATTCAGGAGTTGCATTATGCTGTGTGTTTTATCTTACTCCATGGCTTTTGCTTTAACAAAAATCTCTTTCCGTAAGGACAATGAACCCTGACTTCCGCTTGTGAGGTTTTTGCTCTTCATCTTGATATGTGCAAATGCCCAAGCGTCTACATGTATGGAAGCACACCGCCATTTCCAATCATTTATAAGTGACAGCATGTCAAGAGTTTTTTTTTGCCCCTTTTCAAACACATTTTATTCAAGACGTTTTTGGGACAAGACAGCTCGTTCGAGCACACTTAGCAAACCAATTATCTCCCAAAGAACTCCTCTGTGATTGACAGCATGATTCTGTCGAGTAGACCTTGAACAAAAATGTACAGACCTTAAATTCTCAGGAGCTGAGAAAGGATAGAAGTGCTCCTGTGGACCTCATGGGCATCCACGTGATTCACAGCCAAGCTGAGGCTGAAAGTAAAACGATGTGAAACGTTGTGCCAAGACTCAAGACACAGTGTGTACGTCTTTACAGCTGTATGATGCTATATGATGCTGCACGCACTGCATGATGCTGTATTCCGCGCTGTGCACATTCAGGACCCTTGCTACGAGACGCTTGTGGCCTTGATTCTGTCAGCGAGGACCAAGGTCAGGATGCTTTTCCTGTCGCACATGACATGGGAACGCCTGTAAAAGTGCCATGTTGGGAGCTGCTTTCCGTATTGAAGGGATTTTGATTTGTGCAAATCTTGGCAAGTCAGCTGAACCAATGCTCTGCATATCTCAGCATATCTTTGCATCCCTTTGCAGGATGCCGTCACTTTCGATGCCATTCAAGGTTTGCGAAAGCATGGCCTGACAGCGGAGAATATCCTTGAGACCCCAGTGCCCGCGCTGACAAGCCTCATTGCCAAGGTACTCGTGGGGACAATGGATGGGTTGGCTTCAGCACGTCAGAAAAGGCCGAAGGATGCCAACGCCCTAGCGAATCCTTTCTGTCGGGCTTTCCCCTCAGGTGAACCACCACAAGAAGAAAGCAATGTACTTGAAGGAGATGACATTGATGTTGCTGGAAAAGTTTGCTGGCAGAGTCCCAGATACTGAAGCTGAATTGAAGCAGCTGAAAGGTGCCACTAGTTTGCAGCAGTCCCGCAAAGGCATGTGTTTGAGACCCGACGACACCAATGCCCCTAATCACATAGGGCATATTTCCACATCTTCATTGTCTTTGGATGCATGTATCCTTTGAATCCCTTGACACGGTATACTTCTACATCCCACCTTGGAGGTGTGGGTGAGAAGAGCGCACTCTTGTACCTGCAGACCATCGGCGGCAAAGCAGAAGGTATCGCTGTGGACTCGCACCTCCACTCCATCGCCAACTCGCTGGGATGGGTGAAGACAAAGCGAGCAGAGCAGACCCGGAGAAAGCTGGAAGAGAGGCTGCCACGCTCTTTTTGGAGCACCATCAATCCGCTGGTCGTTGGAGTCTTGGGCAAACCCCAGTGTTACTTTCATACTTTCAAGATCTTTCAAGGATCCATGGCAATGGCAAGGGACAAAGGGAGGTTTCAGGGGTTTCAAATTTCTGCGGGCAACGTTTGGTTTGGATTGCAGACACTTGCCATGCTACCAAGAGCCGCAGAGTCGCACACAGGATTTGGACAAGAAATAGCAACCGAGAAGTCCAAGATCTTGGCGAAATGCCTCAACTCAAGCAATCCAAGTCTGGCGCTGCAAATGCTGTCCGACTGTGGGATGAACGTGACCAGAGAGCCACTAGTCATCGGATCATCTCCCGTAGACTGGAAAGTAGCACTGGTCATGCAACTTCCTCTTGGAATCTCTTCTCTGGGATCAGGGTTGCCACAGTTGCAAAGTCTCGCATCTGAAAATTTGCTTGACAGATGAGCTTAGCAGCTAAGGCTTGAGAAAGGAGGGCTTGCTGATTTGGACTTGCCGATCCGATTCAAGCGGCGGGGATGATTTGTACAGAGATCCATTGAAAACCGGAGCACCTCAGTTTTGGCAAGCCAGCTTGCTGCCGATTGCCTGAACTCGAGAAAGGGCTCTGCGGGTTGTTGGGAAGAAGAATGTGTAGTATGTTTGCGCCAAGCACTTCCTACATGTCTATGGGTACCGTATGTTTAGTTTATACTGTATGTCTCCTCAACTCTGTAGATATTTCCAGTGTAGGCGCTCACTCTGAATGATGTTTGAAGTTTGGAGCTTGGAATGTTCGCAGGTGCCAGGCAGAAACGCTCGCCGTCTCCAATGTTCAGCTCTCAGCATGCTCTCGGACCAATCTCAGAGTCAAACATGTTGGAACATGTTTCCTTGAGAAGTCTTTGAACTGTTTGAGATGAAGATAGATGAAGTGTTGGAGCATGTGACATATGTGACGGTGTTGTTCACCGCGTGATACAAGTAGCCCTGGGATATTTTATGGGTCGATCCTGGAAGACCGCCTGGAAGAGCTTCAAGATGCATCAAGTAGACTAAGTAAACTTTTATATTTTATATATTTTTTTATACTGTATTTGTTATATATTTTTATATACTGTATTTGATACATTTGATATACATTTGATATATTTGTATTTTGCAATCCTTTTCATGTGATTGGTCTGTGGCTTTGTAGTTTTGTTTGCATTTCTTTTCGGCCTGTCAGCAACAAGCAGAGCACAATATATAACTTGCTCAGTAAATGTACAATAAACTCCGGTCCAAGATGGTCCAAGCATGCTTTAAAGTGACCGATTTGAAATGTTTTGATCCGCTTTGGCTGAGGTCGGTCGGCTCTTCGGTGATTGAGGCACTTTGGTATTGCTTTCCATCTAACTTAAGAGCGTGAGACAGCTCTTTCCCTCTCTCTCTCTGCATATATACACATATACGTATGTATGTGTATATATATATATATGGGATTGCATGGGTATAGTTCAGTCAAGAGCTGAATGCAGTGCTTCAGAAGTTGTCATCGAATTCATAGAAGTTGTCCATGTTTCACAGAAGTTGTCATCGTTTCACAAGCCCCTAATAACGTTCGTCTTTCAATGGTGTGGAATGGACAGCTCTTCCAGGAAAGCTCTTCACCATACTATCCCCATACTGGAAGTTGGGAAGCAATACTTATATATGTATATATTTATATAAGATATGATTATATATTTGTATATGTTTATCAAAGGAAGTTGGGAAGCAACACTTCCGAGTTACGAATGACTTTTACTTGATGCAATTGACTATGATGAAGGGTGGTAGATCACAGAACAATATATTATCTAACAATACAGAAGCTATGACACAGGGTGGTGACGAAGGGAAGTGGTGAGGAAGGGAAGTGGTGAGGAAGGGAAGTGGTGACGAAGGGAAGTGGTGAGGAAGGGAAGTGGTGAGGAAGGGAAGTGATGATGAAGGGAAGTGGTGAGGAAGGGAAGTGGTGAGGAAGGGAAGTGGTGAGGAAGGGAAGTGGTGACGAAGGGAAGTGGTGAGGAAGGGGAGTGGTGAGGAAGGGAAGTGGTGACGAAGGGAAGTGGTGAAGGGATGTGGTGAGGATGGGACGTGGTGAGGAAGGGAAGTGGTGAGGAAGGGAAGTGGTGATGAAGGGGAGTGGCGCGGAAGGGAGGTGGGGACGATGGGAAGTGATGAGGAAGGGAAGTGGTGACGATGGGAAGTGGTGAGGAAGGGAACTGGCAACCATGAAGGGGAGTGGTGCATGATGTTGCAAGGGCTCTGTTTTGGGGAGGAAGCCGGAGCACGAAACCTTACGTTTTTCCGTGTAAAGTGGCTGCAGCCGGCGATGAAAGGTACCTCGTGTGTGCGGCGGGTGCGGCTGGGGTCGTTCCGGACGCGATTGGTTCCTTCTATGTGTTTTGCAACAAGTGGTTGTTCCTGTGTGCGTAGTTCTATGCGTTTCTTGAAGCTGTGGTGGCAGATCGCATTGGAATGGCTGCATGAATGTTGCATGGGCTGTGTTTTGGGGAGGAAGCCGGAGCACGAAACCTTGCGTTTTTCCGTGTAAAGTGGCTGCAACCGGCGATGAAAGGTACCTCGTGTGTGCGGCGGGTGCGGCTGGGGTCGTTCCGGACGCGATTGGTTCCTTCTATGTGTTTTGCAACGAGTGGTGGTTCCTGTGTGCGTAGTTCTTTGCGTTTCTTGAAGCTGTGGTGGCAGATCGCATTGGAATGGCTGCATGATGTTGCATGGGCTTTGTGTTGGGGAGGAAGCCGGAGCACGAAACCTTGCGTTTTTCCGTGTAAAGTGGCTGCAACCGGCGATGAAAGGTACCTCGTGTGTGCGACGGGTGCGGCTGGGGTCGTTCCGGACGCGATTGGTTCCTTCTATGTGTTTTGCAACAAGTGGTTGTTCCTGTGTGCGTAGTTCTATGCGTTTCTTGAAGCTGTGGTGGCAGATCGCATTGGAATGGCTGCATGGATGTTGCATGGGCTTTGTTTTGGGGAGGAAGCCGGAGCACGAAACCTTGTCAAGTGTGAAGTGTGACGTGGAGCTTCAAATGTGACATGCGAAACAAGACACCAGTTTCGCAGAGTGCACGCACGCACGGGCTTCGCTGGCGCACGGCTCATGCAAGTTCTATAGATGAGAAAGGTCTTATATATATCTTTAAGGCAACTTCCGCCCCGCCTCGTGCGGGTACTACTGGTATAAATAAGTATTATATTGCATATATGTGCATACAGTGTATGTTTCAGCATAGATAGCCGACATAGCCTGGTTTAGTATTGTGCCGCAGTGTTGCTTTTGCATGCCTACCTGACATGGTGTGATCATGGAGGAGCCAAAGGCTTCGAACACCAAACGACGAGCAAGAATCTCAACGCACATCAAATTAGCCAGGTTAGCATGCAGTGAATGCAGTGAATGCAGTGAAACATGTGAACCAGGCCAGCAGAATCATTTCAAATAATTGTCCTTTCCACAACGTTTCCTGCCAAGTCGGATGTCGCATTAAGAGCATAGGTACGCATAGCCAACCTATCTGCCGTGCGAATCCGGTTCAACAGCCGTTTTAGTTTGAGTTGTTTAGGCAGACACGGCTTCAATGTCCAGTTCTCCATGAGTGCAGCTCAAAAAACGAGAAGTGTATATATCACATGTGATATGTAATATATTCAAATATTTATATATAATTTATAAGATTTTGCGCCCATATGCGCTTATGACACTTGCCAGAGCTCTTTGCGATACGTATATATATATATATTATTTTAACACACACACACACGCATATATATATATACACATTATTTAGCCTTTCGCGACTTGTCCCCACCAAGTCGTAGGCACAGTAAATCCTTGCACTGAGGTGCCTGCTGGACAAAGGCAAATAGTTGTCACATCCTTGCACATGATGTTGACATGTGTGCTTGGTCGCACATGTGTGCTTGGTCGTGCTGTTCTGACACTCTGACGATGTATCATCTGGCCAAGCAGCCTAGAGCAAGTCCATGCAGGGGATTGGCATTTCATGAAGTAGTTCTCTTATGTTCTCTTAGTTTTTCGCCCGTTCAAAGCATAATTACTCTGTCGTCTTTTGAAACTGCCAAACATTGTGCACTGCCAGCACGCTGCAAGCCTCTGGTCAAGTGGCCTGGTGCCTATCGCAATGTGCAGGACAAAACGGTTCATTGTAAATTGCCAGGTCCAGGCACTGATCGCTATGGAGAAAGAGAGAGACGCACTACTCGCTGCCTGTTTCACTTAGGCAAAGCGAAGCAAGAAGAAGGCTGTTTACTGCGTTCTAGCGTTCAACCTGCTTAGGGTTCCATGGGTTTCATTGTTCTGTGGGTTCTGTCATGGCATTGGCATTCAGAACTGCAGAACGTTGCAGCAACCCAGCTTTGCCTTAGAAACCTAAAATTGTGGACACTTCAGTCTCGTGTCTTGCATCTCCAGGTCCGAAGGCGGGTGGCCAAAGTGCATGTGGTAGAGGTGCAGGTGGCAAATGCGGCAAATTCGCCACCACCTGCGCCTGCACCCATCAAGCCACCGAAGACACCAGTGAAGACGCCAGCGGCGAAACCGCCAGCAATGAAGCTTCCAGCAAAGACGCTTCCGCCAAAGGCCAGAATGTACCGCGTGGCCGTTTCCACCTGTCATCACCTGTGACGGATGGCTTTTGATTCTCCGACCCCGAGCTTTACAAAGCTTTATCATGTGCTGACCAGACTTAGGCTCCTTTTTGATCCTTTTTGTTGCCCATTCCAGCTTTTGTTTTTCTCTATCGGTTGTGGTATTGAAGTTCGTTGACCCTGCAGCCTAGCATTGTGCTCAAGTTCTGACGGCTTCGCATAGCCCGCAAGCGCTGCGTCTTTCATGGGATTCGGAGGCCAGCGTCTCTATTATTTTGAGTTGCTCAATTATGTTATGTCAACTTTTGATAAAGCTGAAAAAGGATGTCAAATCAAATCAAACCAATTCAATCTACATACAGACATACATACATACATACATACGTACATACATACGTACATACATACGTACGTACATACGTACGTACATACGTACGTACATACGTACATATGTACATACGTACAAACGTACATACGTACATACGTACATACATACAGACATACATTGCCATACAGACATACATTGCCATACAGACATACATTGCCATACAGACATACATTGCCATACAGACATACATTGCCATACATTGCCATACATTGCCATACATTGCCATACATTGCCATACATTGCCATACATACATACATACATACATACATACATACATACATACATACATACATGCACACATACACATACATACATACATACATGCATACATACATACATACATACATACATACATACCTACATGCAATACATCCAATACAAGATACAATACATACATACATAGATACAATACATACATACATACATACATACATACATACATACATACATACATACATACATACATACATACATACATACATACATACATACATACATACATACATACATACATACATACATACATACATACATACATACATACATACATACATACATACATACATACATACATACACACACACACACTAGACAAGAATGGATCATTATATGATCCGTCAGGAACTGAATCCTGAAACATGCAAACCAGCCTAGATCGTTAGATTTATGCAGGTACGTTTACACGGGTCCCGGGGGGGTGTCTTCGGTGGCCACCGACCCCCCCGGGACCCCGGTGGCCCCTTGCATTATATTTAATTTAGAATTAGAAAGGGAGAGGACAAAGGAAGAAAAAGAGAGAGAAGAAGTTTTACATCTATTCAGATGTTACACACACACACCCGGCCGGAGCCGGGTCAACCCTGAAAGGCAAGAGGAAGAAAAAAGCGGACACACGAAGGGCAAACGGCCAGAAACAGCGCAGGGGGGGGAGGGGAACAGACGGACCTCCGGAACCAACCTACACGGCGAAACGGACCTGAACAAAACAGCGCACACACCTAAACCCCACGACACATTACGGAGAGGCACGCGGGGAAAATTAGGGACCAAATGGGGGACTAGTTGATGACCGACAGGAAAACCAAAACAATTAATTAAAAACAGGATTCAGTCCCTAAATGCCTAAAGGTCGTGCGATTATTCCCTGCACCGGGACCGTGGTCAAGTCTTGCCCCAATTGGCATAAAACGGCTTTCAAGTTCTAACGAATTAAGTGCACAACATGTTTCACCTCACCAGACAACCATCAAAAGGAAAAAGACCACACCTGAAAGACATGAGCCTGCCTGATCCAGTTTCATGTAATGTTGCCAAATGTCGCTGTGAAAGTGCTGCAGAATAAGAGGTTTCTGAATGTTCAGTATGGCTTCACTTGAAAGAGCAGAGCACTGGGATCCCTGGGACGTCCGGAGCCGCGGGACATTCAACAAGGCTGATAAACCGTAAGGCCAGCTGTTGCAATTTACGTAAACGAATTACTAAATTGAAAAGTGTTAATTCGGCAGTCAGGACAGTCATCACTCACCCTAAAAAGGGTTGCCTCAAATGGCTCCATGGCACCATGTCGGAGCCACCATGGAAATCACACTAGACAAGAATGGATCATTATATGATCCGTCAGGAACTGAATCCTGAAACATGCAAACCAGCCTAGATCGTTAGATTTATGCAGGTACGTTTACACGGGTCCCGGGGGGGTGTCTTCGGTGGCCACCGACCCCCCCGGGACCCCGGTGGCCCCCTGCATTATATTTAATTTAGAATTAGAAAGGGAGAGGACAAAGGAAGAAAAAGAGAGAGAAGAAGTTTTACATCTATTCAGATGTTACACACACACACATACATACATACATACATACATACATACATACATACATACATACAATACATACAATACATACAATACATACAATACATACAATACATACAAGACATACAAGACATACAAGACATACAAGACATACAAGACATACAAGACATACAATACACACAATACACACAATACATGCAATACATACAATACATACAATACATACAATACAAACAATACATACAAGACATACAAGACATACAAGACATACAAGACATACAAGACATACAAGACATACAAGACATACAAGACATACAATACATACAATACAAACAATACATACAAGACATACAATACATACAATACATACAATACATACAAGACATCCAATACATACATACGTACATACTTACATACATGCATACATGCATATATGCGTACATGCATACATGCATACATGCATACATGCATACATGCATGCATGCATGCATACATGCATACATACATACACACATACATACATACTTACATACTTACATACTTACATACTTACATACTTACATACTTACATACTTACATCCAGACATTGCCATACAGACATACATTGCCATACATACATACATTGCAATATATACATACATTGCCATACATACATACATTGCCATACAAACATACATTGCCATACATACATACATTGCCATATATACATACATTGCCATACATACATACATACATACACACATACATACATACATACATTGCCATACATACATACATTGCCATACATACATACATACTTACATACATACATACATACATTGCCCTACATACATACATTGCCATACATACATACATTGCCCTACATACATACATTGCCATACAGACATACATTGCCATACATTGCCATACATTGCCATATATACATACATTGCCATGCATACATACATTGCCATACATACATACATTGCCATACATACATACATTGCCATACATACATTGCCCTACATACATACATTGCCCTACATACATACATTGCCATACATATATACACTGCCCTACATACATACATTGCCATACATTGCCATATATTGCCATACATTGCCATACATTGCCATACATTGCCTTACATTGCCATACATTGCCATACATTGCCATACATTGCCATACATTGCCATACATTGCCATACATTGCCATACATTGCCATACATTGCCATACATTGCCATACATTACCATACATTACCATACATTACCATACATTACCATACATTACCATACATTACCATACATTGCCATACATTGCCATACATTGCCATACATTGCCATACATTGCCATACATTGCCATACATTGCCATACATTGCCATACATTGCCATACATTGCCATACATTGCCATACATTGCCATACATTGCCATACATTGCCATACATTGCCATACATTGCCATACATACATACATACATACATACATACACACACACATAGATAGATGGATGGATGGATAGATAGATAGGTAGATAGGTAGGTAGGTAGGTAGATAGGTAGATAGATAGATAGATAGGTAGATATGTCTCATGGTCTTCACTTTGCCTGTCCCGCTTTAACTTGCTATCCTGGATGCCCTGCATTAGCTTTGATCGAGATTCAGATGACAGGCAACGGCAAAGGCTGGGGATGGGGCTGGGCACCACCGATGTGGTTCCCAAAAGGCTTTGGCAAAGGTGGCTGGGGCCGCCGCCGAGGACCTCGGATTCTTGGCAGACCTTGGCCCCCTAAAAGCTCCAGATATACAACTGGGCGACTGGGCGACGCATTTCCCAAAAGGAGCAAATGGAGTCAAAGGACGCTAGTCGATGTTTTTTCACGTTTGTTTTTGATCCTGCAGATCAGCGTCTTGTGATGCCCATCATGTTTGTGGCACCTTAGGATTGACCCGGAAATGAAGCAACTTGGCATCATCACCTTTGCTGTGGCATATCTTACTACATGCAGCATACGACAATCTATATAGACTAATCGCTGACCGAGCTTCAGGGGGTGTCATGGGAGTGGAGCTACGAGCTGAGGATCTGGATTGGAAACCTGCCCGAAGATTGCACATGGAAGGACCTCCAGACTTTGGGGAACACTGTTGCCGCTACTCGTTGGGCGGAGGTTTTCCGTGGCAAAGGCGGGCTGAGAGAAATTAGGTGCAGCACGTTGCACTGATTTTAGTTAGTTCCAAATGTTCCAGAGCCGATTGTGGTGTTTGGACTATGCAATGATGAGCACTCAAGCACTGCCGAATCGCTGCCCTCAGCTTGGCAGCTTTTGGACCAGGCAAAGGCACTGGAATGATTGCCTACAAGACTGCTGAGGATGCTTGGGGCTGAGGGACTGACCTGATGGAACTGATGGAGCTTTGGCATTTGGCATGTCTTGACTTTTGATCCTACTTCCCTCTACTTCCCCAGGTGACGGAAGCCATGAAATCGCTCCCTGGCAAGGAGATCAATGGTCAGACCATCCAGGCAAGACAGGATGAACGTGCTAGCATGACTTATATTGTACATACAATCACACGCACACACACAGAATATCTTCTATCTATCTTTTTTTTCTTTCTTTCTGTTCTTTATCTATTTATATGTACAGACATATATACACATAGACACGCATGTATATATATATATATATATTTACATATATATATATACATATGTCTACATAAACGTACATATATACGTGCAACCTATGTATAAATATGTATACATATATGTATACATGTATGTATACACATATATATACATATATAT